CTGTATGTGCTGCTATAACAAAATACCACTGGGTAATTTATAAATGCCCTGGATTGAAGTGCCCCCCCGAAGGTCACTGAAGCTTAAATCTCCACTGTAACCGTTGAGGGTGGGAAATCCTACTATGGTAATTGAAAGGTGGGGTATTGAAGAGGTGATTAGATTGTGAGGACCATGCCATAGTGAATGGATTAATAATGGTGGTCAGGGGTGTGGTTCTGAGGATTTTAAAAGGAGAGCATGTGAGAGTCTCTTTCTGCTCTACCATTTCTGCTACGTGAGGTCACTGTCACCACCAACAAGACCTTCACCAGATGTGTTCTCTGGACTTTGGACTTCCCAGCCTCCAAAACTGTAAGCAATAAATTTCGTTTTCTTATAAATTACCCAGTTCCATGTACTTTGTTTTAAAACAGAAATGGACTAATACAATAAACAGCAGACATTTATTTCTCACAGTTCTAGAGGCTGGGAAGTCTAAGATCAAGGTGCTGGCAAGTTTGATGTCTGGTGAAGGCCTGTTCTCACAGATTATGCTATCTAGGTGTCCTTGTGTGGCAGAAGAGACAGAAGGACAAGAGAGCAAGGGGAAACCCTCTCTGAAGCCTCTTTTAAAAGGGCATTAATACATTCATGAGGCTAGAACCCTCATGACTTCATCACTTCCCAAAAGGCCCCACTTGTTAATACCACTGCAGTGGGGATTAAATTTCAACACATAAATTTGGGGGGATATTCAGACCATAGCAGTGTTTTTCCTGTGTGTGTTCCTGTGTCCAAATTTCCCCTTTTGGTATGGACACCACATTGGGTTAGGGGCCCACCCCACCCCAGTTTGACCTCATCTTAATTAATTACATCTGTAATGACCCTATTACCAAGTAAGGTCACATTCTGAGATGCTAGGGGTTAGGACTTCGACATATGAATTTTTGGAGGATGGAATTCAACCCATAGCAGATAGTGATGGAAGCTCAGTGAGCAGATGAACACTTAAGCAAATGGGGAGTGGGGAGTGAGCCCTGGGGAACTCTGATGCATAAAGAAAACTGAGAAGAAACGGCCAGAGGGAGGAGTGGTGTTGCTGAAACCAGTGGATACCCTGATCCAACGAGGCAGTGGCCAGCAGTGTCACCACAGGAAGGACAGGATGAGAGTGGGCTTGTTCCTGTGATGGATGCTGGTGGGAAGGAGCCGATAGGGAGGGAGGGAGAAGTTGAAGACTCTGAGAGATAAGAGGTCATT